CAATCGACTCTTCATTTAATATTTGCGAATATTCCTTATCTAAAACAATTTAACGATCTTCATCACCTTCAAACATTCCTTTGATAATATTTTTACTGGTTTTATATTAACATGGATGGGATCCGTATTATACGGTTTTGTTGTGAAAATACAACCAGAGAAAATCAAAGTATGTTCTATAAGTGCCGACACGCATAGAGCAGCGTGAGAACCTCTCCAAAGTTGTACGTGTTTGTTTTGTACGACTTCAAAGACAACAAAAAACACGTCAGTATAATGTGGAATTCTCAATTTTTTTTTTGCCTATAGAATATTTACTGACGTCTTTTTATCCATTGTTCTATTTCAAAGAAATGAAAACTGTAATAATGTTCTCCGGGACTAAGGTTTCTATTAACCAAACTGAAGTACATCAGTAGTGAAAAATAACCAAAGTTGAATTTGCAAACAAAAATAGTTAGTCATTCTGTAAGTATATAGTGAACTTACAAACATTTTTTGTTATAAAGTATTGATCACCATGAGATAAAGATTTTTATAAAAAATTTATAAATTTGAAACATTATTATGTTTTGTTCAGTTTATGATTTTTATGGTACACGTTAGGTAAATATATTTTCGAATTAAATCCTGCGTAATGTTGACAACATTTATGAAAACACTACCAAATATTTTCACCAACACAACATTAAAAAAAATTATTTTGTGATTTTTCTCACAATTCTAGAACACACTGACAAATTTCGTATGAAAAATAACCTATACGGAAATCCCGCATCTGTTAAACAGATGTAATTTCCCCTTATACATGCTTTCCTACTAAAGAGCGGGTAAAATTTGTATTTCGGTTCTTATGTTGATAGGTCGTGCACGTGTGGTACCGCAATGGGTCAGCAGCAAGCTTAAGGAATTACAATGCTAAAATCTGGGGTTCGATTCCCCGTATGACACACGTAGATAGCCTATTGTGTACCTTTGCGCTAAGACAGCAACTATAATTACACGCGCAGTCAGAGGTAATCTTTTCTTACTAAAAGTTATTTTCCTGCTAATACTAAACAAAAGTAAATTTTGTATAGACACGTGCATGTTAGCACTAACAACGCCAATTATAATTAATTTCAACAATTCTTTTCTAAATATTTCTTATGCTTCTATATCACAATTTACATTTTTATAGAAGCTTCAACTTTTTTTATTGTCCACACGTTGAAAAAAAATGATGTTTCGACATATTTACTGCTTTCATCGTGTATTGGCTAAAAGACTGTTAACAGGGTAACTCCAACTTACAAAGAAACTCTATAGCCAGGATATAATAATAACATTTCTTATGACAAAAAAACCAACGGACCATGAAAAAAATATTTCAGCTAGCGCAATGCGGCCCCGCTTCTTATAGAAAAGTGAAAGCATGGACTTTACAGAGTAATTTTAGAAGCACAGAAGAAAACCTTCGTAAATAATGACAGTATGGGGCTCACATGTGTTACCATTATTGAGTTCTGCTGGAAGTGAAAGAGAAGTATCCAATAAACTTCAACTATACTTTTTT